GCATTGCTTTGCGAGGAGCAAGTGTGGCCCCCGGGGGAGGCTGAGCACCTTCCTGAAAATTTCGGCGGGGGCTGACACCCCACCGCCCCCACAAAGATTACGCCTATGCTCCGGGGTATCTCCATCTACCCCTATATCGACGATTGGCTTTTGGTAGTGCCTTACCAGAACGCCCTGGTCTCAAACATCACCGAGACACTGGCACTATTAAAAAATCTGGGCCTACAAGTCAATCGAGAAAAGTCTCAATTGAGTCCAGTCCAAAGAATAAAGTACATCGGTGCTATACTAGACTCCACGACATGCATGGCTTACCTGCCTCAAGACAGAGCGGCAGACATAATTTTCTTAGCCACCATCGTCCGTACCCACCCTTCTGTCACTGCCTTCCAAATCCAAAGGCTACTTGGCCTTATCGCTGCAAGTACGTCGGTTCTTGTCTTTGCCAAACTGAAAATGTGTCGTTTACAACTGTGGTTCATCCGGAATTACAACCCAGCGAACAACGCTCACACTGTCGTCCTATCCCCCCCTCCCAACATACGAGACTCGTTACTTTGGTGGACTGTCCCTTCCAATATCTTCCAGGGAGCACCCTTCCACCCTCTGTCACCCCAAATCACCCTGACCATGGATGCTTCCCTGTCGGGATAGGGTGCACACATGATGGGTCTGTGCGTCAGGGAAAATGGAACACCCATGAGCAAGATCGACACATAAACTTCCTGGAACTGCTCGCAATTCAGTTCGCAGTCACGAGTTTCATACCAATAAAAGAGACACTTGGATCATGCAGCTAAAAAAGGGAACTAAAAGGAGGGAGAGAAGGGTCCATGGGTCGGCCAGCGACACACATGGAGTGGCTCCAAATAGATTTGGAATGGAACCAAGGGATGGGTAGGGGGGAGAAGAGCAGAGAGAGAGAGCCCAGAGAGGGCTGTCCTTATATATCTAAATGTGATCTAAGGCTAGCACTCATGTGGTCACCTTGTCCCCAGGAAGTACAAAAAAAACCCCTTAAACTCTGGATGGGGCATAAAGGGATTAATAGCTGGGCAACAGTAGGGAGTGACACCTCTGGGGACAGGGGGGTGAGACAAAGGAGAGAAGTAGAGGAACCAATCACGTTGCAGGGCTGGTGCTTCAGATTAACGAGCAGATGTTATCTTGATGGGTGGCAGGAAGGCTTGATTGCTGGCTATTGTCTGTAGCTGGGCACATCCTTTTGTTTTAGGCTGTCTCAGGTGGAAGTTAACACACAAGATTGGGGGGGATGCCTGCATGATAAAGGGAGTTTCTTATGGCTTCCGTGCAGGAACATCTTGTCCTTTTTGCAGAGCATGGCTTTCTTCTGTGATCTGCTGCTGTTTCTGCAAGCATAGAGGTCAGGGCTGCTGGTCTGCATTCTGCTGCTGGCATGGCTGTGGAGGGGCAGGAGGCTTCTGTAGTCCCTGGTCAACATCGGGCTTGGCATGCTTCTTAGGCACAAGGCTCCCCTTGGCCACAGTGCATATTCCATGTTCCAGTATAAGGGCACTTCTCTTGGGAACACAGCTTTGTACATTGCCCTGACACACATTTTGCACATTTCAGCAAGATAAGTTATATTTAAGAGTCTTTCGTAATGCCATCTGAAGTGGCTGCATGGCAATAGATTACAGAACTTGCAAATGCCACAGGCAGCCCTAGCATTATGGGCAGGGCAGAATCCCTCTCCACCAAGTAGGAGGGAGAAATACAATTAAAGACAAAAACAGGTTGCTTACCTGTAACTGATGATCTCCGAGTGGTCATCTGTGCATCCACACCCATGGGATCTAGTGCGCACGCGCTGGATCCATCGGCATTGTAGCAAGCTCTTTAACGGATTTCGCACCCAGTCCCTTGGGCGTGCGCAGGAACCCCACCGCGCATGCCCAGTTCCTTTGAACCACCACAAATCAACCCCTATGGAAAATGTAGAAGCTCACAGCAGCGGGGAAGGAGGTGTGAGTGCACAGATGACCACTCGAAGATCATCAGTTACAGGTAAGCAACCTGTTTATCTTCGATGTGGTCTCTGTGCTTTACACCCATGGGAGATTAGCGAGCAGTGGCCTACCTGGAGGAGGGTGCTGGCAGGTCCTTACTGCGTCGCTGAAGATAGAATGTGACGTCCCATGTTAGTATTCGAGTTCTTACGGACGTCTAGGGCGTAGTGCCTCATAAAGGTGTTAGGCGTGGCCCAGGTAGCAGCCTTGCAGATGTCCGTCAGGGGTACTCCCTGGAGGAAAGCAGTGGAAGCCGCAACAGCCCGGGTTGAATGGGTCTTGATGGGGCCAGGCAACTGCTGCTTTGCAATCAAGTAGCAGAGGTGGATGAGACCCGCAATCCACTCTGAGAGGCGTTGAGCCGTGATGCGAGTCCCCAGCCTCGCTGGTGCGTATGAGATGAACAATTGGGAGTCACGTCTCGTTGGGCGGGTTCTGTTGAGGTAGAACAGGAGTGTCCTTTTGACATCCAAGGTATGTAGCAGTCTCTCCTCTGGGGATTTCGGAGCTGGGAAGAAATCCGGGAGGAAGACCTCTGCCTGTAGGTGGAACTCTGACACTACCTTTGGCAGGAACGAAATGTCAGGGACGAGGCGGACAAATAAGGCGTGTCGTGCCGGAAAGGCAGTATTTCTCCAACTCGCCTTGCAGAGGTGATGGCCACCAGAAAGGCCGTCTTCCAAGACAGGGATTTCAGTTTGCAAGTTGCGAGTGGCTCAAACGGTTTCCTCGTAAGTTGACGAAGGACTAGAGGAAGATCCCAGGGAACGACAGGGGTTTTGACAGGAGGGTAGAGGTGTAACAAACCTTTTAAAAAACGTTTTGAAAGCGGATGTGAAAACATGGTGCATCCGTCGATGTGAACATGGTAGGCCGAAATTGCGGCCAAATAAACTTTTAACGATGAATGGGAAAGTCCCGAGTCAGCGAGGGAAAGGAGGAATTGGAAAACTTTCTCAAGGCCTGCGGAGGAGGCTCGAGGGGCATCATCACCTAGGGAAGAACAGAATTGTTGCCATTTATAATGGTAGGACCTTCGCGTAGCAGGTTTCCTGGTGTTCAGTAGAACATTGGCTACGTGGGTTGAAAAACCTTTGACGTTATTCTCCATGCCGTCAATTTCAAGCATGGTACGTCATGATGTAGGAGAGGGGAATCTGACAGGAAGAGGAGGTCCTGTACCGGAGGGAATTGGTGGTATATTCCCTTTGACAATACTTCCTGCTCATGCAAACGTCTATATCCTTTCAACTCTGTATTCCTAGCTCTGTATTTTGTGTGGGAATGTTTGATTATTGTTTGTATGCTTGAAAAACCTTTAGTAAAAGAATTACTATTTTAGCTATACCGTCTGTGGGTCCTGGGGTCCTGAGAATTCTGACTCCTGTATACACAGGTTCTGGTCCTATATTTAATGCCTATTGCCATTTAATACTCATAATTCCCCACATTTATTAATAAATTAAGGCAATTTGGCCAAGAAATCTGCAGGTTAACTAGAGTTGCTGTAGCCTTGTCATGTGGCATACTAAATAACCTCTCTCTGCCATGAGGTCTCTAGCAGGGCTCTTTTTATTTCTTATGTATTCCAATCTTTGCATAATTCTGTCTTTCTGTTCATCCTGGAATCTTTTTAGATTCCATTCACTACTTGACAACCTTCAGGCTGCATAATCTTCATGTGCTTGAAAAATCCCTCACTTTGAGGACAGGTCCATCAAGTGGACAGGTGCATCTCCTTTCAGATGCCAGGGTCTGCAGATTCCTTTGCATGTAACTTGGCCTTCTGTTCCTTCCAACTCAAAATGCATTGCATGTTGCTTTCCTTCTAGGTACAGAGAAAGAAGACAGGGTAAGACAACAAATAAAGCCAGAGTTATTACAGCAAGGTCTTTCCAGAAGGTGCTTGGTAAATCAGGTTTCTTGTGGCCTTAGGCAAGGCATAGGTGCCAGTGTGGACTGTTGCCCTCAGGTTTAGAGAAGTGAAGGTGGAAATGTTGTGGAGACCAGAGCATGCACCCAGCATTTCTAGAATCCATCTTTGGAAATGCACAGTAGGGCAATGATGGTACAATTCCTTCTCACCGCTGATCTGTCTCTTTTTCTCTAGAAGCGGGCAAAGAGAAGCTCCTTGACCATGAAGTCCTGCTGCAAGTGATTAAGGAACAGCAGGGTCAGCAGAAGCAGCTCTTGGACCAGCAAGCCAAGCTGCTGGCAGTGATTGAGGAGCAGCACAAGGAGATCCACCAGCAGAGGCAAGAAGAGGGAGGAGAGGAAAAGCCAAAGCCAGGTAACCCCCCCCCCCCAAAAAAAAAAACAACCCTAAGAACATGATACAAGTAGGCAACATGAAAAGGGAAGCACTGGTGGGATCATTTACTGAGGCCAGCTTCAGTACCAAGACTGCCTCTTCTCAGAGGCTTTCCTTCCCATTGAGTAACACATGTTCTTTCTGGACACCAGAACAGCAGGCCAAGCTGATTTCATAGTAGGAAAATTCCAGCTCAGGCGTCACTAGAGACCACACTGGAACATGGAAGTGTCAGGAAAGTAATACTAGGTCTTGGAGAGCCATCAGCCACTACTCAGCCGTTGTTCAAAGCTGCAAGAAGCTTAAGAAAGGGGTCTCTTCTTACCACATTTATGATTTGTTGATGGCTTCAAAATTAACAACCAGGAGAGTCAGATTGTTACCACGTGTAAATGAAAGGGGGAGGATGGTGTGACTGTCCAAGAGGGTATTGTGTGAATTCTTCAGTTGCTAAAATGTACAACAACTAGAAATCTGTATTTCTCTTCACAGTGGAAACTCACCAGGAACCTGGCCTGCCTCTTTCCAAGAACAAGGGAGGAGAGGAAGGCTTTGCAAGTAAAACTGAAGATGCAGCAAAGAATGCACCAAATGAGAGATCAGATCATCCCTTGCATGGGCTCAACAACCAACCCCTGGACTCAGAAGGGCAGCGGAGACAGCTGGCTGCAGGTCCAGAAGGAGAGCTGAAGCATATACACAGATTAACTAGAGCTCCACCTAAAAATCCAGCATCTCTAGATGATGGTGAGAATATTGCAGAGCATCAAGTGGGGAAAATTTCAGCAGAGAAGTTAGTAGAGTCAGTCAGAAGCGATTCGCAGATAGCAGGGGCTGACAGAGAACATCAAGAGAAGCAGAAAGAAGGCCATGGCCCTCACTTGGCCCAAGAGGCCCAGGAGAAAAGGAAGAATGCACAGAAAATAGATGACATTGAGGGAAGGGCTGCAGGCCAAAAAGAGATGCTTGGAGAAGCCAAAGTTCATGCAGCGGCTGGGAAGATTGCTCAGAAAGTCTCTGAGGGAGAGCCATTTGCCAGAGTTAATAAAGAGGAGCTCCACAATCAAGAAAAGCAAGCAGATGCTGCATACAAATCCAAGATTACTGAAAATGTACAGCAGAACCAGGATGTCCTAGGAGCTGTTAATCCTGACAAGACTGGGGAGAAACAGACCTTCTCTTTGGGCCAGGTTGATGGACTGCAGGGCCAGGGAGGCAGTAGCAGAGACAGGGCAGTAGCTGGATTCCATATTCCACAAACAAGCCATGCCAATGAATTTCAGCTTGGTGCTGAAAGCGAGCCCCAAAACCCAGGGAAGTTGCATAAGTCTGACGGTGACCCCGTCTTAAAGACAGAGCTGATTGCTGCTGCCAGGGAACATGAAAATTTGAAACCTAACCGAGACCTGAAGCTGAAGGAAGAGCTGGACTTGCGCCGCAGGAGACGAGACCTAGAGGAAGAGGAGGAAGAGGAGGAAGGGAGGGTGATAATTGGACTTAACCCCCTCCCAGATATGAAAGTCAATGACTTACGCAGTGCACTGGAGACTCAGTTAAATCAGGCAGCGGAAGGTGCCCAGCAAGCACTTCACAGTCGACAAATAAAACAGATGCCAATGGCAGAAGAAGAGGTGTGAGATCAGGACTTCATACTGTTGACCAGGTGTAGGTGGCTGATGGCTATTTTGGGATGTCTGTTACTGAGCTAAGCGCAATTGAGTATGTAACTGCGGGCAGTCTGAATCAGTTGGGTCTGCCTGAACCAGGCTCCAGTGACTGAGCGAACGTTGACCTGTGCACGCTCCACAGGGAAGGGAATTCTGTTGCTGCCAGCCAGTTTCATGTTCCAGTACTGCAACACCCAGTCTCTCCAATGTGCTGGTAGCAAATCAGCAGAAACCAGGATTACCCACCTTCTCAGTTTTAAAGCATACTTTGTACTTGTCACCTTTCCAAAGAAGCATTTGAATTTGATGCTTGCTCTATTGCCTTTAACCATATGCTTTAATTTCTGTGTTTTGGAACTTGAGTCTGATTTCATGTTAGCAATTTGCTCTTGCTGGAAACTTTCTGTGTGTGTATATGTGGGTTTGTCACTTAAATTAATTTCAGATCCTTCTGTTCCAAGTTCACCCATGTAGGGCATGGGTTGATCTGCATTTGGAAATAGTATCAGGAAAGTGAAAGAAGTTTTTAAAGTGTCTAAAATGGGAAGATGATCCTTTGGTCCTGGGTAAATTCTTAGGAATTTAGGGCTTCTTATTGTTGGATTCATCTTTAAACACATTTATTATAAGTTGCTGTTCAGGTGCTTTTTCTAGTTAATTCATTGATTAGCAATAATAAAGAGATCACCCATCCTTTCTCAGCTGTCAGATCAAAGGTTTGTTTTTAAAAATCTCTATCCCAAGTGCATTATGAGATTTCATACTGTGCTTGAAATGGTCACTTGCTGTGGGAGGAAACAGCGAGAAAGTGAAATGAAGGTGTTCCTAGGAGGCATTATCAAAGTTTGCATCTACTTCTTTCCACTGTTCTGTGAGTGCACGCATTGTGGTTTAAAGCTCTCACTACCTGCGCTTCAGGTTCTTCAGTCACTTGTGTGAAATTTGGTAATGTTGATTCTGGATTCTCAGTGTCTGCAGTTGAACAGAGCTGGTCTGTTTCAAGTGTGCAGGTAGAATTGTGGCTTTTGCTGTTAACAGATATAGACTTTTTTTACTCTTGTATGCAGCCAAAGGTATCTGCCCATTTAATCTGGTTGTGATTCTCCAAATTACAGACATGATAAAACTTGGCAACATGGGAGCCTTTTGTTACAAACAAGCCAAAAAACCCTTGATTTTAATACACTGGTCCCTTATCTCATATTGGTCTGTTTTTCTAGAATGACTACGGGTCCAGGAAGTGCTAGTGAGGACATTGCCTCTAAGGCAGTTGCCTTCCAGGTTCTTGCACTGCTGATCCTGACAAATGGAATTGAATGCTGTCCTTTCCTGCAAAGTTTGTTTAGTGTGTCTCCATTAAAGAAGACAGGGAAACATGGCTGGTTCCACTCCGCTGCTCTGAAGGTCATTTGCCTTGTCATAAACATGATGATTATTATAGCCTTAATCTTCAGGAGTCTCATTGAGTGAAGCTGCTTAAAGCACAATTAAACAGAGTCAGGATTACTATTGCTTCAGCTTTTCTAAAGTGGAGAGAATTATGTGTAAATGTGATTTCTGTTTCGGGGGTTTAGAGTTGGGGTTTGGGATTTTTTTGGTAAAAACCAGGAAAGTTGCGTTTGTGTGCCGTGGCTATGGAGGTGTCAGCCAACTGTTAGCCTGTAAGGGTTTTTCCCGACCAAGAACGGTATGACTGTGTGTTGTGCCTGCAACTAAAAGGACCAAAGATAATTCTGACATTCCTCCATAGAGCAACTGAATTTTAAACAAACTGTCTCCAAGCAACTAAGGGGAGGGAAGTGGAAGAAAAGGGGACAGGGGACTTCAGCTGGAATTCCTCTTCTTCTGCCATAGCACCAGTTCAAGTTTACCCTGTTTTACAATGACAAGTGGTGTATAACCAGGCTGCACAGACAAATAAAATAAATTTAAGCATTTTTACCTGGAGCCTTCTTTTTTTGTTGGAAATCGTTTCAGTTCACACTGAATGAAATGGAATAAGCTGGAGACCTGCATGTAATATGTGTATCTTCCAGAGACCTCCTCTTGCTTTCTTGTATACATTGGCCTTTTGATTACTTTTTTAAAAATCACAGATGCCATTCATGCAGCCAGGAGTATCCATGCTGAGATTTATTCTCCAGAGTTTAGTTTTATGAAATTTACTAAACAGTCTTGGGAAGATTACTTGACCCCTGCGAGATCTGCTGCTGAAGCATTACACAGAATGTAAATCATTTGGTGAGACAATTAGTGGAAACAGTCTAGCACACTTTATAAAACAGCTTCATACACATACCACAGAATTACAACTTAATGTTCTTCCTGCCATCCAGCCACGTGAAAAGGTCAGATCCGGCATTCTGTGAAGCAGCTTCCACTTAAGATACTTATCTGGCTGGTACGTGACTCCAGATCTGAGCAATCTCCTCCAGCTCCCCTGAGGGCCTAGGCAACGCTGTGTTTTTATGACTAAGATGATGAAGCAGTGGCTGTCTTAGAGTTACAGTAGTCCTTGCAGTTTTATTGGGCAGATTCCCAAGCTGTGCTTTAACCTTGGCCTATAAAGCTGTTTTCTCCTTAGGCAGTTTCACTGATTAGATTTTTTTCCCAAAGATTCAATTAGGAAATCCATGCTCAGAAGGGAAATTAGAGGTACAGAGTCATGGATCCCTCAATATGAGGGTCAGGGTTGTATTTTTTTTTTTAACATGCCACAACTGAATTGGTGTTCTTACACAAATTAACCAGGCCTGCCAGGGAGTCCTGACACCCTGTGCCCCCACCTTCTCTGCCCCAAATCTGCAGGAGCGAGAAGCAACAAAATCATAAACCAGCTAAGTACTGCCCTACTTTGCATTCAATTCTTTGTAAAGTGGGAAGGGAATGAGAAAATCCTCAGGGCAAAACTGCCAAAAGCTAGTTTAGTTGTGGTACAGACCCTTACACTAAGGGAAAGAAAAAGCAGCTGTGTGTTTACTAAATCCTTACTTTGCCCAACACGCTCCCTTGGTCTTGCTTTTTCGCTTACAAGCATTCTTATAATCTGAATAATGTGGGAAATCCTCCCATAGTGCAAAAGGCTGGATTAAACGACCTTTGTGTATTTTACAGTTTCAAAGACTGAAGATTTTTAAAAAGTTCTTCTAACTAGAAAATCCATGTGAGAGATCATAGTCCTGGATTCCTCAGCACAGCTCTCTATAGTCCTCTAGCCTTGTTGCCAACTTTTCTTCACAGCAGGGCTACATTCAGGCATCACAATAAACCTGTGCTTGTACAAGGGACACAAATGCAACTTGTTCTACTGCTTAAGTATTCCTGTCCCTGACAGAATGCAGGTGAAGGCTTCCTAGTTGGGAAGCCATTAATGAAATTCCAGTTCACTGTGATGTCCAAAAGCAGCTACCAGTGCAAACTGACGTTTGTTTCCTTCCACAAATCAGGATTCTGAACCTCAATTCTGGGGAAGAAACACATTCCATTTTACTACTAACTAACTACTACTAAATTGGATTTACTAGGCCGCCCTTCCCTACCCAGTTGCCAGCATGCAGTTTGATGCCAGGTTTCCCAGAGCAGGAAGCCTTCAGTCCCAGTTTGTGTGCAAGGGAACTCTTGAGCATAAACTGTGTTTCTACTCATCAAGACACCAACTTGTCATGAGGGGCCTAAATCAAAACCAATCGACTGAGTTTTAGCTTCAAAAAAATTAGTTCTAGACAGCTCATTGAGATGCATTATTTGAAAGCTCATGGCTCCTTGTATATTGTAAGCTGTTCACTTTAGAGATTTCTTCTCAGTGCAGCATAAGATGAATTGAGCACTTTGTCCTTCTCCGCCGAAAGCAACTATAAATCCAGGTGTGCAGTTGGTAATGTCCGCTTCAGAGCTTTACTTTACATTGCTCTTTGCCTATGGAGGAAGATCAGTTCTGATGAGTCACTGCTTTTAAGATTCACATCACTGACTGAGTACTACATAAGTATCTATTTATTTATTTAGATTTATATATGCTGCAGGATATTTAACCCTTGGCTGAAGTCATGTCATAATAGCCAACCATTTCTCTTGTAAAATTAAGCTACTGTGAAATTCCTGTGTGCTGCTGATCAGTTTAAGGCAAGACTCCTATAATCCTGTAACAGGAGTCTGTGAATAATATGTATTAAAAGTTTGCTCAAAAGACCACAAACTCCTTTTTAGCAGCTACTTTAGCTAAACTCTTTTACAAGCATAAAAGTGACATGCAAGTGTCTTGGTGGCACGAGCTTTCATGAATTAGAATCCTTGATTAGATGATCTGATGATGTATGCTTTAATCCCCAGAAGCCTTTGTCATATGTTGGGGAAATGAGGGGTGCAGGAACCTTTTCATGTACCCCTCATTCCCACTGTGCTCAATTTTGGGAGGGAGATAAGCTGGCTTCCCAATTGTATTGAATGTGAGAGAAAAACAGTTATTCTAAACGAAAACTCATTTATTATACACTCTAAAGTCAGAAAACATTTTTGTAGCATTTCAATATTCAACACAACCCCAATACATAAACACTGCACTTGTAATTCTATAAAGGATATCCTTGGTTATTCTGCCAAGACCCATAACTGCTGGGTGGTTGATCAGAACAATCAGGAACAAGACTAAAATGAGACATTAAGTACTCTTTTTCACCCATAGAAGCTACTGTAACTGTCAGTCAAGTCTGCGACAAGCATTTGACATATATCTGATATATATAACAAAGTCAGCCCTTTCTATTTCTGGGGTCAGGAAAGTCAAGGAAAGCTGGATTAAGCCAGGGTGACTCACAGAATCAAGGAAGCTAGTTTCTGATACCCTTTATTCAGAATTTGATAGTGGGATCTGACTGCTGTAAAGTATAAACATTCCTAGTAGCCAAAGCCACGTAAGTCAAAATCATGTCCAGTGAAGGCCACACACAGCACATAGCAGTGGCCAGACGCTTCCTGGGAGCAGAAGAGAACCAAAGTTTCAACTATATAGGCTTATTACTAAAGATATTAAAGCATTATAGGTGTACCATAGGTTTTTCAGAGTTTTAGCAGAGGATTGAGACTCAAACCAGTCCTAATTGTGCAACACCATAACAACTGTGTTAGTCTCCTTTTTGGTTTTGCTGCAACAGAGGAACATAGCATCCCTTCTGGAATCTGAACACGAGATTAAACTTCATGGAAGTACATAGTGCTACCCATAGAGAACTGCCAATGAATTTTGGATGTAAGGCTGATACTCCCCCCGCAGCCCATCCTCAGTGCCACCCAGCCCTTGCCCCTGCAGTAAGAAAGCTACACTGGCACAGTGTTACTATTATGCTAGCACAGAATCCTAAACACAAGTGTATTTACATTGTCAACTGGACAGGGCAAAATGTCCTGTTCCCCTATTAAGTATTTCATGCATGGAAACAAGCAGATGGAATTAAATTAAAATACATCACCTGTTAATTGCTGCAGATCAAATGAATATAAAAGGGCCAGCTAGAGGGACCAGTTTAAAAGTCAGCAACCCAAAGAGCCTGAGTAGCATACTAACTGGAGAAGAAGACTTCATTCTAATGTTTAAAAGATGTGACTCACTGCTTTTGTGAAGCACTCCATCAGCATCTGAAATTCCTTGGCGCATACATCCTTCTTCAGCTCTCCATGACCTGTTGCCTTGGAGGCAACACACTTGCCATAGACTGAAGCCTGCAAAAATTAGGGCTAATCAGATATCAGGATACTACTTGGCTGTGGGCATATGGCAAACTCCCTGATTTTAAAAGATTAGTGACACCTTCCTACCCCCATACATTGAAGACTGAAATAGCCAATTATTTTCCTCCCAGGAGAAACGGGCTTGTTCCTTGGCTCCTTGTAGGTTTGCAGCCTCTGCTAATCTTAAAAATGGCACTATGTTGTCTTTTATTCTTCCTGGAAAATATATGCTGATCACTGACAGTTATCTGTTATCTGACAAAAGGAGCTTTGACTCTCTCAAGCTTATACCCAAAAAAACTTCTTCGTGTCTAAGGTGCTACTGGACTCAAATCTAGCTGTACTATCTGTTATCTTATATCTCCCTTATAAATAAAAGCTGAATGGTGGTGACACTTCTCTAGAACATTCCACACTCTCCGCAATTGGTTGGCGCCCTGGTGTGTCACTCAGAATCTGTCCCTATCCACTGGCTGCATTGCTTGAGTCTCGCCTCCAACATTCTAAACAGTTTGCTGTTCCTCTTCCCCCCCATAGCCAGTCAGAACACAGAGGTTATTTGCATATGCAGCCTCGTTGGCCTTTGCCTCGGAACACAGAGGTCGTTTGCATATGCGACTTGATTGGCTTTTGCCTCTAACATTCTAAACAGTTTGCTGTTCTGAGGTAAAATGTGTCCAATCTCCAGGTGAGGGCTGGAGATCACTCAGAATTAACACTGCTTTCCAGATGGCAGAGATCAGTTCCCCTGGAGAAAATGGTGGGCTCTGTATCCTTATATGCGGCTGAGATGGCCCCCATATGACAGCCAATGTGACGTAGCAGTCAGGGCTTCAGAGCACGGGAGAGGCTGCAGGTGTGTGGGGGGTGGAAAGCTGAACAGTGAGGGGGAAATAAAAGTAGGTTGATGATTGCCTGGGAAGGAGATAGGGTTGCCAACTCCAGGTGGGAAATTCCTGGAGATGTGAGGGATGGAGCCTGGAGAGGGTGACGTTTCAGGACGCGTAGGACCTCGGACAGGTACAAAGCCATAGATTCCACCCTCCAAACCAACTATTCCCTTCTGGGGAACCATCGTTGCCAATCTCCAGGTGAGGGCTGGAGATCACTCAAAATCACAACTGTTCTTTAGGTAGCAGAGATCAGTTCCTCTAGAGAAAATGGTGGGCTCGGTGTCATTATACCCTGCTGAGGTCGCCACAGCAAGTTGACACTGAGTGTCCAAGGCCGGGGCACCCGCCCAGAGCCGCTTTCTAGAGGCTGTTGTATTTACTTCCACAACAGGCCTTTTTCCTAGTCCTAGTATAATGCAGTGATTCTCAAACTGTAGCATAAACCATGAAGGAACACTGGGCACCCAAAGTTCCAGGGAGGAAGCCTCCCCAAAGCAATGGTGGCTTCTTCCACCATCAGCAAGGACTTATCGTGTTCCCAGTCCTCAGTGATTGTGGGCATGCTTGCATCCTAAATGCCTCATTACGCCAAAGCAGTTAAGGAGAGGGGTTCAGAACCAGATGGTGCTTTTGTTCTTTAAGAATTTCCCCTGTGCATGGCTTTAGGAGGGGGCCAGAGAAATCCTGCTCTAATGCCAGAGCAGAAGCTATGTAATGGGATATTACTACAATCCTCAGGCACAGGAGCAGGCTCTGGGCACACAACTGTGCACAAGAACCTATGCAGGCTTTCTTACAGAACAAACGGCCTCTCCCAAGTTGGAGGGTGTGTGTGTGTTAAAATTAGTGTGCAGTATCTAAGAGAACAGGCTGTGAACTGGGATTTTCCAGGCCCTCTCCCAAAAACACCCGAGCTGCAAAAATGCACGCGCACCCTCCTAGGAGATCTAGGAGTAAATCGCTCAGCATTCCACGGCACTGACTCGTGAGTAAACAAGCTTTCAAGGAGCGGTCGCTATCCTACCGCGTAGGATTATAATAACGAGAGCCACAGCAGTCACTCAAAGCATGCTTTACAAATCCCAAGAATTGTTTTCCCGAGGATGGGAAGAGAAGCGGTCAGGAGAGGGAGAAAATAAGGTCGCTATGACGACGTGGGACGAATGGTCTTTTCCGGGCCCCGTACCTGCTCCTCACAATTCGCCAGTAAAGCGGGGAAGCGTCGTAATCTCTCCCGAACACGACCCCAGACTCCTTGGCTGGGCATAGCCATTAAAACACGCCCGAAGCCCTACAGTCTGGACGCGGCCATAATCAGCAAAAAGACTGTCTCATTGGTCCAGCAAGGTTCGTTGATAGGTCAGTAAGCCGCTCTGCCTTCCGATAACACTAGACTATTATTGCCCTGATTGGATACCACACATACAAAAAAACATCCGATTGGCTAAAAAGCAGGAAACGATTACCCTTCGTTCCGCCGTCCAACTAAGGCTTCAACTTAATGACAGCTATTTCCTGCTGTTCGAAAAGCTGATTGGTGTCTTTGTTAGAAACCGGTCGTTCGATTGGACAATTGGTCCTCCGGAAGGCGGGATTACGAAGAACTATGTTGGCGTGGTTGTGCTCGGAGCTTATCATGGCGACGGTACCTTTGAGGGATCGGCTGAGCTTCTTGAGTCGGGTACAGCGAGGATAACGCGATTATTTAGAATCTATTGGGGATGGGGGAGTTCATAATGGACCGTTGCCATACTCTGATGGAGGTCGTCATGACTTACTGAGGCCCTCTGCTCTGCCCGGCTTGATGGCAGCTATAGAGTTTATCGCTTCTTTTGACAGCTCGGTGCCCGTGTAATTCTTGCGACGAATCTTAAGCATACTTACTAAGGAGTAAGAACCATTAAATTCGTTGAGGCTCACTTCTCAGTAAACATGCTTAGAATTACACTGTGAGAGTCACTTTACTCACTCCCCCCTTTTTTGTGGAGACAAACAAGCACGTCAGATAGATTCTCGACCAAATTGATGCATGTGGTCGCTATCCACAGGGGAAGTGAACGTTTACAGTGACTCTTAATTGGCTCTTTGCCTTAGGACGTGGATGCAAAGCCTAGAAATCTTTGTAACCCACATTATCATGGCAGCAACATAAATGGGTTCTTGCCTTTAAGACTATACATGGGCAGTTTTCTGATTGTTGAACTGAAAAGTTCATTGGTTGGCCGTGACTTTATGAGGGTGTTGTTGCCCCCAGCAACTACTGTCCGGTGACATATGGCCTCTGAAGGTGAAGCTCCATTAACCTTCCTAATTAATAGCTGTAGATAGGTCTTTTTAATAAACACCACTTTCAGGTGATACAGCAAACAGTGGCAAAGGCTGTTTGTGCTTACCCATAGCTGCCCATAGGCCCTGATCACACGGGCCATATAACGCGGGTGTGAGGTGTCGCTGTTTGCCCCAGAGCAAAGTAAAGCACTGCAGCCCGATCACACGTCCCGTGGCGTTCCTGTGGTATGCCGTTAGGTGCCGATCACACGGCTATCCTGAAGCGCGGCAAAGAAGCGGTGTGGCGCGATCACACGGCAATCGCTAGGCACCGCTTCCGTGGCAAACGGGAATTTTTTTCTCACCGATGTTTGCGCATGCACATGATCAAGCAAGCGCATCATGTGGAGACTTTAAAAAAAACATCTGGTTTGCGATGGGATATGGATGGGCACCGGATGCCACGGGATTCGAGTGGAAATGCGATCAGACGCCCGCCCTTGCCCTGCATTTTCCGGAAACTAGTACATTGTATGCAGTAGTTTTTTACTCCACATCTTCGGCAGGAAGCCACGGGTGAACTATGCTTCCCAGATGTTGCGGTGTGATCGCACACCAAAAATCTGCCTATCATCCGTGTCTTTAGTGTGGCAACTTCTCAGTGTGAACGGGACCATAGAATTGCAACCCCTAAGCTCAACAAGGAGAGCAAAATTCTCCACTATAATTTAGAGCTTCATATTTGTTGCTTGCAGGAACAGGTTTTACCAGCTTTCCTGTCAGGTAACCAGAGATGGTTCTGATTTACGTCAGCAGCTAGATAGTTAACAGGGAATTTGAGTGGGTCTGGATCGGGGCTGCTTGTGAGCAGTGTTCCCTCTAAGCTGAGTTAGTGTGAGCTAGCTCACAGTTTTTTAGCCTCCAGCTCACACATTTTTGTCTTAGCTCAGGAAGGGTGGCTCCAGAGCAAATTAAGTTGCTCACTCACAACTGTAAAGCCAGTAGCTCAGAAAGTAGAATTTTTGCTCACAAGACTCCACAGCTTAGAGGGAGCATTGCTTGTGAGTCATCTGCAAGATGCTCATTTTGGCCTGAGAATTGGATCTGTTTACTACCAGATCCTGGGGAACAGATCATGTTTCTTTACCTTTCTTTCGGTATCAGATATGTGGCCTCTAGGCTGTGAATGATGGCAACTGGAATATTGTTGGAAAATAACAAGGCTTCCTCAGTTGCTGTCTCAGATGTCAGTGGTGTGCTAGAACAGAAAGAGCAATCGTTACCTTCTAAAAATGTGCCATGTACTGTGATCTGGTGGCTGTTCATTTGTGTGTTTTCCTCCTAGCTGCCCACTCTGATCAAAAGCACCTCAGATGATGAAATCCCATGTCCAGGATACTTGTTTGAAGAAATTGCCAGTATCCTTTGGAAGTTGGATGTGAACTGAAGAGAGTTCTGAAAGAGGGTTTCTGGTTGTGACATCAGTTTTCCTAGCCAGAGCAGTGGCTAGTGATTAAGAGCAAAGGCCTGATAAACGGGATCTGACTCAAGCATAATTTTTGGTTTTTGCCTTCAAGTCACAGCTGATGTATGGCAACCTTGTAGGGTTTTCAAGGCAAGAAATGTTAAGAGATGATTGGCCATTGCTTTGCCTCATCATCATGACCCTGAACTTCCTTGGTGGTCACCCGCTGAAATACAGACCAGAGCCAACCCTGCTTAGCTTCCGAGATCTGACGAGATTGGGCTAGCTTGGGCTATCCAGGTCAGGGCCAAGTATAAATAGCCCTGTCAATTCACTTAAGTGCCTTTGTCTGGTTTCTTGTTTGTCAGGTGACTTAAGTGAAAAAAACCTAAAACATAAAAGAGAATAAGGTAAAGGTTCCTTTGCTCGAAAGCCAGTCGAATCCGACTCTAGGGTTGCGGTGCTCATCTCGAAAGCCGGTTGAGTCCGACTCTAGGGTTGCGGTGCTCATCTCTGTTTCAAAGCCGAAGAGCCAGCGCTGTCCGAAGACGTTTCCGTGGTCATGTGGCTGGCATGACTAAACACCAAGGCGCACAGAACTCTGTTACCTTCCCACCAAAGTGGTACCTATTTATCTACTTGCAATTTCTTGCTTTCGAACTGCTAGGTGGGCAGGAGCTGGAACAGGCCTTTCATATAGCTGGAAATAATGCAAGGAGCTGTATGCTACCATTTCATTTCTTCCTCACAACAATTTCTGACAAAAACTTGAAACCAGATTTGTATAGAGACAGTTCTTTTATTACAGTAGTATGTAGCTGTGGACTAAAACACATTACAGAAAATATCTTATTCTGTTAATATGAACGAGAGAGGGAGAGCTATAAGATGAATGACAGCAGTAGAACAAAGGCAATGAGCTAGGGACTAGCATGATGGTTTGGGTGCCTAGCCTTCAATCCATTACTCTGTTAGC